CCCCAAATTACCCATTTTATGTCTTGTAGTTGAGTGGGTCCTTAGTGTATTCACAGAGCTGTGTCAGGAAGCACCAGTATTTGATTCTAGAAGACTCCTATTACCCTGACTCTGACCCCCATTGCCTGTGCCTGTTTCCCAACAGCATCTGGTGACCACCAATCCTTGCCCCTGTCCAGCTGTGGATTAGCCTCTTTCTGGACATTTCATAGAAGGTGGATGGTATAATGCAATCTCTTGTGTCTGGCTTCTTTTCCTAAATAAAACATTTTGAAGGTCCATCCACTTTGTAGTTCCCTCCTCTGTATGCCTCAGTCTCCCGCATCTGGGGAATAGGGTGGAGGAGTCAGAGAGGCCATTAAGTGTACATGGAGGGCACAGCGTGGCGATCTGCTTCCCCCTAGTGGTAGATAGGAGTACTGCAGCTGTCTGTGTGTGACAGCAGAAAGGTTGTGAGTGGGCGGGTACTCAGCCCCAGATTCCACCTCCGAGATGGAATCCCACCCTGCATAGCCTTTGGGACGTTAAAGTATTTAGACCCTTGCCCTGAAACTCCTTCTTCAATATTCTTTAGGTAACACTTTGTCTTAATTTTTTAAATATTTCTTTTATTTGTTTGTCTTTTTGAGACAGGGTCTCCCTGTAGCCCCAGCTGGCCTGGAACTCAATATGTAGACCAGGCTGGCCTCGAACTCACAGAGATCCACCTGCCTCTGCCTCCGAGTGCTGGGATCAAAGCCATGCGCCACCACACCTGGCTATTTTTATTTTTAAAAAACATTTTATTTCTCGCCGGGCATGGTGGCGCACGCCTTTAATCCCAGCGGAGGATCTTTAATCCCAGGCAGGCGGATCTCTGTGAGTTCAAGGCCAGTACATAGTGAGTTCCAGGCCAGCTGGGGCTACAGGGAAACCGTGTCTCAAAAAGACAAAAAATTTTTTTCAATTTCTTATTTTATATGTATGAGTGTATTGCCTGCACGTATGTAAAGCGCACCCATGTCATATAGTGCTGCAGAGGTCAGAAGAGGGTGTCAGATTCCCTTGGAACTGGAGTTAAGGGCGGTTCTCAGCTGGCATGTGGGTGCTGGGAATCGAACCCGGGTCCTCTGCAAGAACAGCCAGTGCTTTTAACCATTAAGCCATTTCTTCAGCCCTCATCCTTCCTTTTTTTTTTTTGCAACGTCTCACTGTGTAGCTCTAGCTGGCCTGGAACTCACTTTGTAGGCCAGGCTGGATCTCACTGAGATTTGCCTGCCTCTGCCTCCTGAGAGCTGGGATTAAAGGCGTGCGCCACCACATCTGGATCCCACTTGTTGAATAATGAAGTGGCTTTAAAAAAAAAAAAAAGACAAGGTCTCCATGTGTAGCTCAGACTAGCCTCACACTTTTTTTTCATATTTTATTTATTATTTTTATTTTATGCCTGCGTGTAGGTAAGTGCACCTGTGTTGTGCAATGCCCACGGAGGACAGAAGATGCTGTCAGATCCCCTGGAACTGGAGTTACGGACAGTTATTAGCTGTCATGTGGGTACTGGGATTTGAACCTGCGTCTTCTGCAAGAACAACCAGTGTTCTTAACTGCTGAGCCATCTCTCCAGCCCCTTGCCTCACACTCTTAATCCCGTCTCAGCCTCCCAAGTGCTGGAATGACAGGTGTGAGCCTCCACACCTGTGTAATACTGAAGCTCTAATCTGATCCCTATGAAGTTTTATTTATCTATTCTGTGATTTATTGCGCATCGTGGCTGTACTATTAGCCAGAAAAGAGACAAACTTCCAAATTCAAATTGAAGACCTGTGCAAGCCAAGACTCCCAGCACTTGGAAGACTGAGGTGGGAGGATCAATAGTTGGAGGCAAGCCTGGGCTACATAGTGAGACCATGTTCAAAAAGAAACAAAAAGAAAGCAGGTACAGGCCGGGCGTGGTGGCACATGCCTTTAATCCCAGCACTTGGGAGGAAGAGGCAGGTGGATGTCTGTGAGTTCAAGGCCAGCCTGGTCTACACAAAGAGTTCCAGGCGAGCTACGGATACAGGGAGACCGTCTCAAAAAAAAAAAAAAAAAAAAGAGAGAGAAAAAAAAAAAGCAGGTATGGTGTCTCACACCTGTCATCTCAGCCCTCAAGAGGTTGAGGCAGGAGGATTACCTGAATTTCAGGGTCAGCCTGGGCTACAGAATGAGATACACAACAAAAACTCCCAGCTCTATAAACAAAGTATGGTGGTTCACATCTGTAATCTCAGCACTCCAGAGAGGGAGGCAAGAGGATCAGGAGTTCAAAGTTATCCTCAGCTATGTAACAAGTGTGAGACCTGCCTGGACAACAGAAGACCCTGTGTCAAAATAATTACATAACTGCTCAGTGTGGTGGTGCACACCTTTGATCCCAGTGCTTGGGAGGGAGAGGCAGGTGGATCTCTGTGAGTTCGAGGCCAGCCTGGTCTACCTAGTGAGTTCCAGGATAACCGGGGCTACAGGGAAACCCTGTCTCAAAAAGACAAAAAAAAAAAAATTACATAACTAGGGCTGTTGAGATGGCTCACCAGGTAAGGGGGTTGCTGCCAAACCTGACAACCTGAGTTCCATCTCCTGGGACCCACATGGTAGAAGGAGAGAACTGATTCCCCCAAGTCATCCTCTGACCTCTGCCCATGTGCCCAAACGCATCCACATTCAAAATCAATACACTTGAAAAACGTAATAAATAGTCTCAGCCATGCCACCCACTGTGTCTGCCACTTTGGGCATATGTGTCTTTTTTTTTTTTTTCCCTTGGGCCTCTGCCTCCTCCTCATCCATCCATGGGTGGAAAAGCTATGTTCTGGGTCTCACAGGGTAGGGATGGGATCCTGCTGATAGTGACAGGCAGTTACTCCTTTAACCAGCCACTGTTGGGGCAGTGGGAGTAGAACAAGGCCTATGGTCCCTAACCTTTGGTAATTCACATGTTGCTTTAAGCCACTAAACTTACATGAAGCATTTTTGGAAGAGACCCTCATTTAAGCTAGAAGAGATGGAAAGAAAGCTGAAAGTCAGAAATTACAGGAAAATAGGACAACATAACTAGACAGTGATGACTACCTATATTACCTTTATTTTAACTAGTTTTTACATTTATTTGTTTTAGTGTGGAGGGAGGGCACCATGGCTATGTGGCAGTCAGAGGACAACCTGCAGGAGTCAGTTCTCCTACCATGTGAGTCCTGGGCATTGAACTCAGGTTGTCAGGCTTGGCAGCAAACACCCACTGAACCATCTTACCAGCCCTATCTCTCTTTTTGGTCTTTTTGAGATAGGGTCTCTCTGTAGCTCCAGCTAGCCTGGAACTCTTGCTATGTAGACCAGGCTGGCCAACTCACAGAAATCTGCCTGCCTCTGCCTCCTCAGTGCTGGGATTAAAGGCATGTGCCACCATGCCCAGCGCCAGCCCTATCTTTGATTTGAATATAATTTAGTTAATTATGTGCTTGCATAATTTAATTTTTGATAATAGTTGTGGTTAATAGTCCCATAATTCCGAAACTATAACAATAATCTTGCTTGAGCTAGCACAAGTATACACACTCTCTCTCAACTCAACTTTCCTTTGCCCCCCCCCCTTTTTTTTTTGTCTTTTTGAGACAGGGTCTCCTTGTATCCCTAGCTGGCCTGGAACTCACTATGTAGACCAGGCTGGCCTGGAACTCACTAAGATCCGCCTGCCTCTGCCTCCCAAGTGCTGGGATTAAAGGCGTGTGCCACCATGCCTGGCTCCTTTTTTTTTTTTTGGACAGGTGTATTCCAGGCTACCCTCAAACTCACTATGTTGCCAAGGATGACCTCAAATTTCTGATTCTCCTGCTTCCACCTCCTGAGTGCTGGGAATCACAGATGTGTATTACCATGCCTGGCAACATCTGTTTTTCACAAAGGGAAACTGAGGCTCAGGAAGGTGAACAGACTTTCAGACAAGAGCAGGCAGGACTGATAACCTCATCCCAGGGGCTGCTGGCTCTGGACCAGGACTACGAAATACCCTCTTCCTTTCAACCCACCGTAGGTGTGGGTGGTCCTCAGAGCACAGTGTGACCTCAGCACAGCCCTTGCCCTCTCAGGTTGGTGATAAAGAGCAGCCAAGCCCTGCAGGCAACACCTGGGCTCACCTTCTGCACCTGCTTTGACTTGGGAGGAGGTAACAGAGGCCCCTCCTGCTCACCTATAGACAGAAGAAAGTGAAACCCAGAAAGTGCAAGTGTCCCTTCCTGGTCACCCAACCCTGCGGCGGTCATCCTCAGACCCAGCTTGGGGGGGGGCATATCCTAAAAGCTGAGGGTGACCTTGAACTCTTGATCCTCCTGTCTGCACCTCCAGAGTGCTGAGTACTGGCCTGGTTTTCTTTCGTTTTGTTTCTTTGAGTCAGGGTTTTGCTGTGTACTCCAGGCTGGTCTCTAACTTGAGGCAATCCACCTGTTTCAGCCTTCTGGGTGCTAGGATTACAGTCGTGGGTGGGGACACCACTATTGGCTCCAGCTCTCAATCTCTCTCCTCTCTCTCCCCCCACCTCCTTGCAGAACTCTGCTCCTTGAGTCTCTGTGTTTTTCTGTCTCTCCCTCCATCTGGCATCTGGTGTCTGGGTATCTCCCCATCACCCCATTTCCCACTCTTTCTGCCAACTGTCTTTTTGTCTCTCCGTCCTTGGCCTCTCTGTCCATCTCTTTGTGACCCTGCCTCTCCCCACCTCTCTCTCTTCTGCAATCTCTGCGTGTCCCCCCCCCCCACCCCGTCTCTCTCCTTCCCTCTCTGCGTCTGCGGAGCTCTGCTTCAGCATTTCCCTGCCCTTCCCTTTTCCGGTAAGTGTCTGGTCCTCCTGTGCGAACTTGCTCTGCACTGGCACGCCCAGACCTGCCTCCCGCCCCCAGAGCCCCCTGGCCAGCCTGGGCCTGCGCCTTTAAGAGCCGGTGGCGGGGGGCGGGGTCCCTGCGGCCCCGCCCTGCCCGCCCCTCCCCCTGACGTCCCTTCCTCCCCAGCCCCTCCGTCGCCTCCCTCCGCCGCCGCCCCGGGCCGGCTCCGCGCCCCCTCCCCGGCCCCCGCCCGTCCCGATGGCTCCCCGGGTTCCTCTTGCACGGGGCCACTAGGACCCTTGGCGTCCTCTCCCTTCCCCCGCCCTGCCCTCTCCCTTCGCTCGCCCTGCGAGGACTCCGGCGTCCAGGGCGCCCAGCTTTAGAGCTCGCGTCCCCAGGTCGGCTGGGGGGGGAGGGGAAGAGAGGGGACCCCGCGATCCCCACCCCCCCCCACCCGGCTACCCCTCTGCCTCCCTCCTTGGACTTCGGAGAAGATGTCTTCGAGGACGGCCCTGGCCCCGGGCAACGATAGGAACTCGGACACGGTGAGTGGGGGGGGCAGCCCTTCGGGGGGACCTTGCTTGGGTCCAGCCACTGAACCCCTCACCCCACTGGACCACTGTTTCTGCAAATTCTGGACTCTCACATCCGGGTTCGACCCGGCTAGCCCCCACCGACACCTCCCCTGACTTTCAGGAGGATCTTCCTCCTCCCCCCACCACCCCAGCCCTGCGCGACCCCTAGGGGCGCCCCTCTTCCCGGACCCTTCTCTTGTCCGTCTGCAGACCGCTTCCGCCTGGTCTCTTTCCTCCAGGAAGCCCCCTCCCCTGCCTGCCGGCAGCCCCTCCCTTCCCCGGCTGTTCAGTCTCTGGTCCCCTCCTAGCTGCCCGCAGCCTCTGCTCGACCCTTCCCGGATTGGTACAGACCCTGATCCCAAGGCGCAGCCCTGGCTTTCCCCCAGCAAGGCCCGAGCTGTCCTGGCTCTGCTCTAAGCTTTTTCTCTGGCTGAGACTGGGTGCCCACTCCCTCGGCAGCCCCTGTGCTGATCACCCCTAGTCCTCAGCGAACCCCCCCTCCCCCCGGGTTGCTGTGAGCAGCCTCAGAACAGGCTCCCATTGGAAGCTAGATAGCACCTTTCCTGGACGCAGGGCCCTGCCTGGTTCCCCTCAAGGTGTCTCCCCTCCGGGGCCTGGTCCTCCTCTACCAAGCAGCCCTGTCCTTGGATTCTTGGCACCTCTGAGGCCCCCCAGATGCTGCCCAGACTCAGTGTCTGGTCTTTTCCTGTCAGGAAGCCTTGGGCTCTAACCTCTAGGCCTGCAACCCAGGTTTGGATTTCTAGGCCCTGAACCAGGCTGACTCCGGGCCTCCTCCTGTATCTGCCTTTCTGCTTCAGGCAAGCCCCCTGTCCAAGCCCCCCTGCTGGGCCCAGTGAAGACCGTTCTTTACCTCCTTCCCTACTTTTGCAGCCCCCCCCATCTTTCCTAGTTGGGGGCCTCCCTTTCCTTGTCTGGGGTCTAGCATTTCCAGACAGCCCCTTCCCCAGCATTCTCCTGTTTCCAGAATACTCTGGGACTTGAACCCAGGGTCTGAACCCCTTTCCCTTGGAGTCACTCTTTCTGATGCCCTCTCCCTAAGACTTCTAGGCCTTGAGCTTCCCCACAGCCTGGCACTTAGCCCTTGGGGCTGTTTCTTGCCCTAGAAACTCTCCTATAGACTTATAGGCCTGCAGACCCATCTTTTTGCATTGAAGAACTGCTCCCAGAAGCCCCCTCTAACTTCTGGGAGTTACTAGGGCCCACATGTCTGGCTCAGGGACCCCTGGCTCTGCTCAATCTCCTATTCCCATGGCTTTTTTTTTCTTGTGATAGGGCCTCACTGTGTAGCTCTGGCTGACCTGGAACTCACTGTGTAGACCAGGCTGGCCTTGAACTCAGAGATCCTCCTGGTGTTGGATTAAAGATGGGCACCACCACACCTTAAGGTGGCTTCTTTCTGCTCTTCCTGGAGGGCTACCCCTTTTGTCTACCCTGCAGCACAGTAAGATGGCCTCCCCCCATTTCTCATATCTCTGATAGCTCTCCCTAAAAAACACAGCCTATTTACCCAGCCCCACCTCCTTTTCTGCTAGGATCACAGCCTTCACCCTAGATCCCAACCAGAGGTATTTATCTTGTCTTCTCCACATATCACAGAGACACTTCCCTCCCGTGATCACTGTTGGCCCAGGTTCCAATTTGGAGCTTTCAACAAGGCCCACCACTCCGGTGCCCCCAGTCACCCCAGGGAGGTACCCAGTTTTGTGGCCTTGGGTTTGAATGCTACCTCCACATGCTGCTTGCATTGTGTCCTCAGGAAACTGGCTTTTCCTTTCTGAGCCTGATTCCTGCCTTGAAAGTAAGGACGGAGTGATGACTTGAGTCCCGCAAAGGATTCCTGGGGACCATGTGGGTGAAGGCTGACACATAGGCACGCTCATTGCTGTTGGCTGCTGGTTTGACTGTGGGTCGGAGTTAGAAGGCGGTGCCTTAGAAACTACAGCTGTCATTAGTTGCCGGGTGAGCTTGCAAAGCCTGCTCAAGCCTCAGTTTCCTTCTAAGTGTGTTGATGGTGGCACCTCCCTGTCAGAGACCTCTCCAGGTCACCTGTCATTATTACTATCTTAATTATTCAGATAAACTCCAAGTCACATTGAGTTTCTGTCCCTCCCTTGCTGTGTGATCTCAGGCCAGTGACCTCACCTCTCTGAGCCTCAATTTCTGTATCTGTCTAATTGGGCTCATAGCGGGCCTTCCTCTTTTGTGGCTAAGATTGGTGTGTAGTGGGGCTACAAGGATGGGTGATTCCTGTCTCCTAACTCTTTGTAAGGATGACCTGCCTTGCCTGAGTGTCACCTGCATCCTTTTGCAATCTGAAATTACAGTCCCCATACCTTGCTACCTGGTTACCATGGTGACAAACACCTGGGGTCATGCTTTCCTACCCCATGTTATGGCTTCCCGAACCAGGGGACCAGAGTCCCCAGGTTCCCTAGCAACAGGCTTGCTGTTGGGGTGCCAACCTGGCTGGAGGGATCCAGGCCAGCTGGTGGGGCTGGCCAGTTTTAGTTCCTTCCCCAGTTCCTAGGGCTTCATCACCCCCTGCCCCAGCTGGCCCTCAAAGGGGTCTGTCAGCCATGCAACCTTCAATGGGGTGCCTTCCCATGCCAAGGGGAGCACCTTGGTGATACCCAACAGGGATTCATCTCTAAGCTCTTATCTCAGTGGGGATCTGAGGCCTTATCTCCAATCTCCTCCGCCCTCTGCTTCTCCCATGGCTTGTGCTTCTCCCCTGGCTGTGAGCAGCACCTGGGAAAGAACTCTGTACAAAGGCTCCAGGTTCCAGTCCCAGGCCTTCTCATCTGTATGTCCTATGACCTTGGGCAAGGCATTGCCCCTGCCTAATCTTGGGGAACTTTCCAGTCTGGTCTCAGGAATGCATATTGTGACTGGACCTGCATGGGAGGTGGGGCTAGAGGCAAGGACAGCAGCGGTGAAGGGAGCAGTGGCAGTCCATGCTATCCAGACTGGGGTGCCGTCTTTGTTTTTCTGTCAGTACTAAGATTGTATGCAGCCATTGCTCTCCCCACAGTGCTGTATCCGCAGCAAGGTACTGGATACTAATCTTAGGGCCTTGCACATGCTAGATAGGTGCGCTACCTCTAAGCCATGCCCCTGGTAGATTCTAGTCATGTGTACTACCAGGGAGCCACGCCCCCAGCCCCTCACTGGGGGATTCTAGGCAGGCCCCTATCACTATATCATCAGCTTACCTTTTGTTCATTACTGTGACAGGCAGAAAACTCAAGCACTGTACTAATGAGAGCAATCATCCACTTGTTGCTTTGAGACAGGATCTTACAGAGTTGCCCAGACTGACCTTGAACTCACTCCGTAGCTCAGACAGACCTTGAACTTAAAAATCTTTCATATATGGCCAGGCATGGTGGTGCACGCCTTTAGTCCCAGCACTTGGGAGGGTGAGGCAGGCAGATCTCTGTGACTTCAAGGACAGCCTGGTCTACATAGAGAGTTCCATCTGGGGCTAGAGGGAGATTAAAAAAAAAAACAAACTTCCATACTTCTGCTCCCCAAGTTGCAGGGGTGACAAACCTGTGCTACCAGGCCTGACAAACACTGTCGTCATGTGTTGGGAGTGAGCCGTGCTACCATGCCTGTTCAGTCCTGACCTTTGTTTCTCCACTGGACTGTGGGGGTTCAGAGGCCTCCCTCTAGGGCTCCCCTGGGAATGGAGTGCAGGTGAAGGTGCCTGTCTGCACAAGTCCTGCCTGATGCCATCATCTGCCTAGTAAAAGCCAGGTGTGAAGCAAGCAAGCTGGAGTAAGTTGTGATCTCAGCTCCTTGGAAAACTGAGGCAGGAGGATATCAAGTTCAAGAACAGCCTGAGCAGCTTTACAAGACTGTCTCAAAATAAAAAGCAAAACAGGGCTGAGGATGGAGTGAGGAGATGGTTCAGTGGTTAAATGCTTGTTCTATATGGGGACCTGAGTTCAAATCCCAACGTCCACATAAATGCCGGGCATGTAACCCCAGTGCTGGGTGTGTGTGTGTGTGTGTGTGTGTGTGTGTGTGTGTGTGTGTATGTGTGTGTGTGTATGTGTGTGTGTGTGTGTGTATGTGTGTGTGTGTGTG